CGCGCGAACCCCGTCGCCCAAGTCGCCGAGAAGGCCGCTGGCCCGGCCGACCAGCAGTCTTTGCAAGCGCGCCAAAGTATGGACCCAGTCTGGTTAAGGATAAGTCTGTGTTCTTTGGGTACTGCTATGATTGGATGTTTTCCGAGTGTAGCAGCGGGGCAAATGCAAGTACAAGCGTCGAAGCCCTTCGCCGGGAACAAAGCCGATGCAGACATGGGCGCTTGCTGGCCCGGCAACTGAGGAAGACGAGGCCCAAAGTCGCCTACGCCCAGTCCTGCTAATATGGCGGAGCAGAGGATCCAGGTTGCCAGGCTACGTCGCGCTTGTTCTTCAAGCGCTCCGAGCAGGACCGGTCGAAGGTTACTGCAGGCGACTTGGACACGATGCTGGAGGACCAGGAGCCGGGATGCCAAACTTTGCTCCTGGAAGCGTGTTGCAGGTACGGATTTTTAGGTGGGGCGGGCTGTTACCCTGAGGCAACTGTGTTGTTGTGGCTTGTCCAGTTCTGTGTGCAACTGGCGGCGGTCCGAGGTGGGATCGAAGGAGAATCATCGGGGTTGACAGACGTCAACGACCTTGAGGAGGTCGTTGAGGCGAATGTTCTGGAATGCGCTCCGCCCATTATCTCCACAGGCGCAAGATGCATGGGCATGGGACACTCACTTTCGTTTAAGTCGGGGTGCAGACCGGCTCTGGCATGTCCATCGGGAATGCGCGGCGCCGGAGCCAACTCCATCTGTCCAAGCCGGGTCGCCCCCTACACGCATGGACAACCGAGAAATCGGGACAAATCGCGGGAACATCGGATTCCTAGGCGAGCTCTGTGTGTCCCTACCAATGACAGCTGTCCTATTACTGTTCATCAACTTGGCATCAAACAACAAAATAATCAGCGTGAAGAAATTGACCATGAGCCACCCGTGCAAGGGAAAAATAAGCTCTCTCAACTAACAACACTTGGCACCCCCTGGCAAATGGCATTCAGACTTGACAATGATCATAGTTGAAACTCTACGCGGCCCCAGATGCCAGCGTCTTCAAAATCAAGTTCAACGCGGTAAAGGCTCAAGAACATGTTTGGCTCCATGATGTCGTGCTCATCCCAAGGTGTTTGAACAGCCTCCGCCTTCCGCAAAGTAGTCAGGCGACGTCAACCGCAAATCTGGTAGGAGATGGATCACTCCCACGCCCGATGCCAACCACGCCTGTGGCTTGAACTGGGTCCTCTTCTTCACCCGCTCCGGGACAATAGGAGAACCCGAAAAAAACGGGGTAAAAGACTCGGACGCGCGTCCCCAACAGAATAATCTCCGCGCATCTCAAGCAAAACGTATCGCGCACATTGCGGGCGCCCCGCCTCGACCCTTCTAGAAGGGTCCTGACCTCGCAAGTCGTCCAGCACGCAACACTCCAGCCTGAATTCACATCCCAAACGGCTTGCTCCTGGTGAGGAAGATTGGCGCGCAGAAGGACCAGTACACACGGAGGCCGACCAATCACATACCTCATCGCATAGTTCTTCTGCCTGTCCCGCATGTGTGCATCCGGGCAAGTGTCCCTCCCATCCCAATCAATAGTCCTCGTCGGGCCAAGTGATGAGAATGTCAATCATGGCCCTCCTGAAGAGTATGTTCCGTTCCACCCTGCGCAAAGACCACCTCAGACCCCTCAAGTTCAAGTACAGTCGGCGCGAAGGGATCTTGTGCAAGTGCAGCCGATGTACAGTTCCTCAGCATTGGCGTGTTCATGAAATACAGAAAAATTCACAGCTGCTTCCCGCCACCTCTCAAAATGCGAGGGTCAAACGCGCCCAACTGCGCATCAACTTCCAGCCTGAAGTCCAGGTTGTTCCGTTCGGAACACTGCGCCGCCATCAAGGCTTCGGATTTCTTCGTTGAGAAGCGGGTTGCGAAGATGATGGTCATGAACTCCGGGGAGGACAAGTACACCGCGGTCACGGGGTAATTCATGGAGCACAAGGAAGGAAGGAAGGAAAGAAGGAGTAGGAAGCTGACCAACCTGGTTCCACAGCCCGATGCACCGGAGGGACGTGGACATGTTGGCAAGTCACAGGCAAGTCACAGTTAGCAACAGGAGGCAAGGGCAAAGATGGGGGCGCCTCGTCTTGTGCTTGCAGAGGTTATCCCCGCTTGTCGCGTCGATCGGAAGCATGAAGGACAGGTGCGCCCAGACCCCTGGCCGGAGGGAGTTCTTCGCAATGTCTTTCATGATTCCGAGCCATCCCCTTGCGCTACGGCTTTGCGAAAGAATCTGAGTCTCGATCTGCTCCATCACGAGTGGGATGCCGACGTTATTGGGCATCTCTTGAAGTCTACCGACTCGCGATTTTCCTCACATCGGGCATGCGTTCTTGCAAGGTGTCGCACTGAATTCAGCAAGGCGGGGCGCCTGAAGGAGGCGAGTGGAAGGCGCTGCTGAGACCCTCACGTCTACCGCGGTACTGAGTTGGTGAAGGCCGTCGTTGGAGGTGCGGCACCTGCGGAAGCGGTGGTTGGCTGCAGGGTCTTCGCAATGCTGCCAAGCAGAAGAACAAGGAGCAGGACGTGAGAGGGCAAAAAAAGGGGTTCAGGTGCCGGAAAAGGGGGGAAGGGTACCTCTCCCGCTCTTAAAGCATCAGGCCCCGATGGAGGTTGATGCAGGAAACGAACCAGAGCAGAAGACGGACTGGTTGGCGGCGGCCCTTCAGGGAGGAGGAGGCCACCGACGACGGCAAGGCAAGGACAAATCTGAAGGCTGCCAAAGCGTCTCAGTGAAGATAGAAGAGATGAGGTGAAGGAGGAGAAGACGTGTCGCCCAAACCCAGCGGCGAGTCTTGCCAGCGTAAGAGTTGTTGGGACCCTGCGGAGCCTGCTGCCGAGCCAAATCTGCGCCCAGCAGCCCACGAAGGAGCGCCTCCAGCGCCATCGGGCCCGGCAGCTCCAAGTAGTAGCCAACCTTGGGCACGGCTGCTTGCTTCTCCGACTTCGTCTTTGCGGTATCAGGCGCCTCCTTGTCCACGGGTCAGGGCATCATGGAGCGCATCGCCGCTTGCCTTGCAAGCAGCCGCTGAAGGACGTTTGGCAATTTCATCATTGTGGAAGAGCGTCGTTTGCAGGGCCTCACCATGGTTCCGCGGAAGAAGGTGAGGGAGCCTGTGAATTTTGCGGGTCTGGGTGATGATCTCGATCCTCCTGTAGCGCTGGGGCTCGGTGGTAATGCTCTGCGAGGATTGCTGATGGGCAGCTGGTGAACATCTTTCTGGAGAGGACTCGCATCTCTGATGCAAACGGTAGTGGCTTGGTGCTTTCATGTGGTATGATTCATTGGGCGTTGATTCGCGTTCCCCCGATGAATTCGGGGTGGTGGCGGGAATTTAATGCCCCGGATGTCGTGCGTCGACGTCTTTGGAGTGGCTCCACCGCTGATCGCGGCCTTGTCCTGCTGCGTGCGGACGGATATGGGCGCTAATTCCTATCAGTTTGGACACGCTCCGCCCGTCGAAGACGGACTCCTGGTGAGGGTGTTGCGTTGGCAACTTACCGGTGGCATTTGGCTCAAGTTCTGATCCGTCGGGGCATCGGATGAGTCGCGGCCTCGGATCAGCGTCGCCGGTTCCACGGTGGAGAAAGCGACATCGGCCCGTGTGGTTCACCGATGGCTCAGGCCGCGGGTTTACTTTTCTTTTGTTGTGGTTTTCTGGCACGCTGGAAACTTCTGGGTTGGTTGGGGGCCTTATTTTGTGGCTTGTTTGCCCCTAAAACCACTTGCCTGGCGCAAGGCGAATCACAGATATGAAGCAGTAACCACAACAACTATGTATTGGAATTGTGACAGAGGCTCAGAGCTCCAGCCAATATGACCGTTGCCTGCAGAGTGCGCAATTGCATTATGGAACTATACCAACAGGTGTTAGAGAACAGATGGGTATCCCAAAGGGTGTAACTCCAACTTTGATGGACCTGTTGGCGCCAGAATCAGGACATGGCCGCCATGTTGCAGGCCCAAGCGCGATAGAACAGGCCAGATACGAGGTGAGCAGGAAAAGACCTGCTTCCGCTTCAACAGTTTCTGATTTTCTTTGCTGAGCCAAAACGTCGGGCCTTGGGAACTATCGTTTTTTGTTGATGACTTAAGAAACTCCAGGATATCTTTGTTCGCAAAGCCAAAAGAAAATAGCCTTTGGACGAGTTCATATCCAGTGTTTGCTTTTGTTTTTGAATTTAAAAGTAAAGTTTTCCTCAGTTTTCTTCAGTTATTCACCGAAACAGCGAGAACTCCTAGGAAATTCCACAAGAGTCAAGAAAACAAAGAATCCAATGTGTTCATGGCTAGCTGAGGTCTCTCTCAAATTATTGAACGTTATTGGGTTTTGGGTTTCTTGAATTCTTGTTTTTTGGGTTGGGCAAAACACTTGCCTGATACCTAGCTGTGCGAGCACGACATCGACCAAGTAGTTGCTTGACATTGTTTGTTTGCAACACATCCCCCCGCATTTGCGGGGCAGTCCCAATCCAGTCTTGTTTTGTTAGAGCCATATATGCATACACACTGGCACATATATTCATATACGGCATGCGCATAGATTTCAATTGCAACACCTTGTCAAATGTGTATTCAAGCGAGCTGGCAACACAAGTTATTGCAATGGCAAGATGTGTCACATGTTTCAGATGTGCTACACGCTTTCCTGTGCCAGGCTCAATCATGATGTCATGACCTTTTGCCGCTGTGACTGTTTCTGCTCAAAATCTCATTTGCCAAGGTTGTGCCCACATGTGCAGGGTAGGGTATCAATTGTTCGTGTAGGAGAGTTCCGTTAGATCAGAGCCTTCGAAGGATCAGAATTTGCCCTGGACCCTTTCTTCCATGACGTGGATTACAGAAAGGATTGAGTTGGAGGCCAGAGGCCACTGCCTCGCATCCAAATGGTAATGGCAGGACTTTTTATTCTCAGCACGTTATAGTTTGCCCATATAGCTTGACACAGTTGCGCAGCTGAAACGTCAAATTGGACATTCACTTCGACTTGCGCGTCAAATTCACATGAAAGTACAAGTCTCACTGAACACGATACACAACAGGTACTCCCCACTTTTAGGCCCTCCGAGTTGCATTTGGATGCTTGGGTGGGCCTCCCCTTGACGCCGCGACCCTCCAGGGCTGCAGTCTTGGTGGCACATGTGCGCTGACCGTGTGCGGTCACGCATCGGACGAGCACGCGATGAGGAGATTGGACAGGACTTTCATCACTCGGAGGAGTCCAAGAGGATGTTCCGCTGGCAGTGCGGTTCGGGGCCAAGACGGGTCGCTGGCTTGGTTGTTGCTGGCTTCTTGCTGACGTTCCTTTTCTCAATCAGGGCGCAGGCTGGCTTCGGGTATGTGTTTGTACAATGTGTATTCAAAGCGCACCACTCGCTGGATGATTACACTAAGTCAGGCGCAGAGTACGGAAGTGTGTCGGCCATCGTCGAGGGTGCGGACAAGGGTTGGGCCAGCATTGACTTCCCGACTGATAAGGCCACCAGGCATAACTACACAAGGTCGTACGACATTTTATTGGCACCATACCAGCACACAGCAAAGAATGTGTTGGAACTTGGTATCAAGAAAGGCGGCAGTATCAAACTTTGGCGAGAATACTTTGATGCCGGAGCATTTATTTACGGCATGGACATAGATCATGGATGTCCGACCTTTCCTCGTGATGGTCACATCAAATCAATCTTTCTGGATACCAATAACCGAGAGGACGTCCTGAAAGCTGTGGGCGACATCCGCTTCGACGTGATTGTCGACGATGGGTGCCATACAAACTTATGCATTTGGAAGTCTTTCAATACGCTATTCCCCCTTCTCCAACCTCATGGCCTCTATTTGGTGGAGGACTATCCAAAGTATTTTCTCTATACCCTGGAGAAGTACTTTCACAAAAACTCGAGCAATCAGTTTTACATTGTTGGCGACCGCGCGGATGAGGAGGTGCTGCTGGCCATCCTGCCTCCATCATCCTGGGCGCTGCAGCCGGAGGTGACACGCAAGATGAGTTGGAAGCTGGTGAAGCCAATCGGAGGTGAAGCCTAAGTGAAGCTAATCGGAGAATGTGGAAGGGCTGTATAGGGCTCGCGGGGCCAGCAACCCAGCTTGGAAGACCTAGAAGTGCATTTTAGGCGTTTTTAGTTGGGCAGAAGTGTATTTGGGCTCATCCCTTTGATGCCTCAAGGAGGCCTAGATCTCGGGTGAGTCTTTGGCCAGAGCTGTGATCACAGCAGCCAGAGAAACAAGCGCCCAGCAAGGCGTGTAATGACTTTCTCAACTTTGAGCCACGCATCACATGATCATTCCACTATCATTGTCTTTCTTGGAAGACAAAGATGTGTGGAAAAAGAAGAACTCACTAGCGGCTTCCCCGGCAAGGCGGCATTTACACTTGAGTGCCCAACTTGCCTGCGCCAGGATCCTCCGAGCTTTAAGAAGTTCGCCAAGGCCGCTGTGATTGCCCCCGAAAAGCAAGGCTGAGGTGAGCCAGTTGCGCAAGACACGCACCAGTTTTCACCAGCTTTTCGAGCGTGCAACCTGCTGCATTGCTAGCGCATACTATGTTTGCATCGAGCTTGGTTTCACATGTCCAGAACCCCTCCAATCAAATATGATAATGTATATGGGTTTGTAAAATCCCTCCGGAGTCATTAGGGGTGGCTCCACCAAAGACAGGAGGTGATCCATTAAACTATGCCCTGTCAAGATTCCGGTTATTTTAAAGTCAACAGTATGTTGTGTGTTTGCTGTGTTCCTTGTTTGGCAGGAAAAAATGTCATTTAGGATCATCGGCAATGGGCGCGAGCCTTTGAAGAAGTTACGAATCAACAGGGCAGAGTTCCGGAGAGGGCCATGACTTTATGCTTTCAGTTTTAGACATGGCTGACTTTGAAGGAACTCCGTGCGACCAGAGTTGATTCTTGGATTCTTGTTCTAAGTAGTGTTTGGTCTTGAATTTCCAAGCTGGAGGCACCCGCGCTCGGGAGTTGAGAGCTCACATTGTCCTCGTGCCCTCAATGGGAAAGCCTCATGGAGAACAAAACGCGCTCGCGAGGGCCCTATCCCTCCAATCCTGGTCCTCACGGGCATGGCCATGTGGATGAGCCGCGACAAGCCTCTCTCTGAGTCTGAGAGTTCCGGCCACTTTTGGGCAGTCGCTTTGAGGAGGATTGCTTGGAGGTTTCTTAGGATAACCAAAGGACACCCAAGATTTCTGGAACTCGTTGCAATCATCGGAAGACACATTTTTAAACTGTTGTTTAGGCTTGATTTGAAGTTCAGGGATAAACAATATGCCGATAGTGGGATTGTCAATAAGTAGCAATGATCCGTGTTGCCATATTGACGCTCTTGAGATTTTGTGTCAACCTGTCAGCACAAGTGTTCCCATCGATCTCTCGGATATGTAATTGATGGTGTGCGCATGGTGTAGTATTTATGCATGCTCCACGAGGTGCAATACGATTCAGATGGTTATTTTTCCTAGTCGCCTAGACATCATCCTACCGTTTAAAGACTTAAAACACGTGAGGGCAAGCCTCCCACTCGCATGCAAGTCAAACAAAGCACGCCAAACCAGCCGCTAATTTTCTGAGGAGCTGGGACGGGAGCCCGAAGATGCAATCCGTGACCGTCAAGATTTTCGGCTGCTCGGACAAGCCTGTTACATGCAGAGTTTGTTTGTTTCCTCAGATAGCTGAAAGCAACAGGTTCTTACTTTTGAAGAGGGGCAGGCTGTTTTGCGATTTCGGGCTCGGTTGGTGCTGCAGGTGCTGGTCAAAGTGCTGTTTTGGGTGCGCTCAACGTGCTGTGGTGGTGGCAGTGCTTGTCTTCATTTGACGTAGTCCGAGTGCTGTTGTGCGTGCTAGTTATCCTTTTCTTGCCAGGGTGATCAGGTTGCTTCCGGTGTGCTCACGGTTGCAATTGCTGGCGGTGCTTGTGGTGCGGTCAGTGTGGTCACGAGCTGTTTGGAGTGCTGCTTTCGGCGCTCAGAATGCTGTTCGATGTGCTCAAGGTGCTACTGTCCTTAAGTTGCCTGGCGGGGTTTGTTTGGCGATGCAGCGGTCAGGGTGCTACTTTGGGTGCTGCAGGGTGCTGGACTGAGTGCTGGGAGGGTGCTGCAGGTGCTTGTTCGGCGATGCAGTCAGGGTGCTGGCCAGGGTGCTGTTTTGGTTGGGCTTCGATCTTACTTCAATTTTGGAAGTGATTGTGTCTCTTAAGGCCGTCACGTTGCATCGTTCTGTTTCGCGCTGCTTTAGCGCTAACGGCTGCGGTATTGTGATAATGTCATTGAATCACTTTGCAGTGCGTGGCGAATTGGTATGGCGTATCACGAATTCCTGAGCGCACCAGGATGCCGCTGTGTGTGGGGTCTTTAAGGGCATTACCGGTCGCGGTGTCATCATGATTCAGCAACACCTGCAATATGTTGTTTAAACCAGTGTGCCTGTTTGTGGTTGTGGCATCATCGTACTGCCGCCGGAAACACCGTGATGCTGTCGAAATCATTACGCCGAGGCCGGTGCTGAAATGTAGCGCGTAATGGTCGTGAGAGTTAGAATGAACTCAGTATGACGCTGCCTGTGTTTATATGCACCCCATAACTGTCCGTCTGCACTATCGTCATGATACTGCTGGAATCACAATGATGCTGTTCAATCCTTGAAGATGCTGTTTGCCATCATGATGCTACTGAGTTCATTTGAATTGCTGTGTGTTCTTGTCTGTAGCCCATAGTGGTTCTTGTTTGGTATCCTCATGTTGCTGTCAAATTCATCATACTGCCGCTGAAATCATTCGAGCGCTGT